TAAGCAACCAGATCTCACCAGAACTCACTATCATGAGAACAGCACCAAGGTGGGAACCCGCCTCCACGATCCATTCACCTTCCACCAGGCCCCACCTCCCGCATTGGGGATTACAATTTGACATGATATTTGGGCAAACAGACAAACCTAAACCATATCAGCAGGTGTTTGGAACATGGGAACATTGGGGATTACAATTTGACATGATATTTAGGCAGAGACACAAATCCAAACCATATCAACAGGTGTTTGGAACATGGGATTTCTCATGAATGGTTTAGCACCATCCCCCTCAGTATAGTCCTCCTGATAGTGAGTAAGTTCTCAAGAGATCTGGTTGTTTAAAAGTGTGTAGCACTTAAATTATATTTACATGGCAGAGCTCATTTTCAACTTTCTTCTCATCCAGTGTGTTCAAATATCATAGGTATTAACTCTGTTTTGTTTTTTATTCAATACATGTGGTTCACATTGAAGAATAAAAACATCTTCTAAAATAAAGATAACCCCAGGATGAGACCTACCAGCTTGAAGAGGCCCTCTTCCTTCTGCTCCAGCCATGTGAAGTTCCAGCTCTCTCTTCACCTTCACCATGACTGTAAGTCTCCTGGGGCCTCCCCAGAAGCCCAGCAGATGCCAGCACCGTGCTTGTGGCACAGCCTGCAGAACTGTGAGCCAATTAAACCTATTTTATTTATAAATTACCCAGCCTCAGGTATTCCTTTGTAGTTAAACAAGAACAGACTAATACAGTTCCTTATAATTGTTTCAATATACATGGCAAAACTCTGGTTTGAAAGTGCTTATTTTGCTGTATCATAATTTTATCTTGTTGTTCTTTTCCATGTGTCTATTCAGAAAACCTCCAGGTCAAAGAACTTGTGTGATACTGGAGAAAAGAGTGCATACATGAAAGAGAAGGACTGAAACTGTGTCTTAGAGAAGCTACCAAATCAGATGTTTTAAGTCCATGTAGGGAAGGAAAGAGTTTTCTTCGCATGGCTGTATTTTCCTCTGTCAGTGACAGCTCTTCAGGGAACAGCTCAGAACTCTGTGTTGATAGTTAGAAAGAATATTTATTTTCCCAAATTATTTGACCCTACCAGCTGTATACATTGGTGATCCAACATCAAAGACAATTAACAAATCCATTAAAAATGCACGTGTACTTTTTGATGTCAAAGTTGTGCGTATATTTTGTGTAACTAAAATCCTCTACCTTTAATTAATTAAAGCTATTGGTGGCTATGAATGAGTTTTTTTTTAACATTGTTTTACAGGTCTTTCATTTCAGAGAGGGAAATAAAGCTTAGTCATCCTTTGATACCCAGGCACTATAATCAAGACAAGTTGGTTTGTGTGGGTCAAAGACAACAAATTATAATTTACCACACCATAAGAATAAACAAAACTTTAATTTATAATGTAGCTAAAGAGTTCTTCCTGTTATAGAATTCTGCCACCATTATAGAATTCTGCCACCATTTACATGGTGATGACATCAAAGCTTTGTCCTCCAGGCACATTTGTCCCTTTTACAGAAAGGGGAGAACCACAGGAGCAAATGCTCACCATTTCTCTGTGCTTATGTAATACTGGGGAACCTTTTTACAAACAGCAAATACCAGCACCTAGTTGCTGTGAAAATTACGGAGGGAATAAAAACAGAGTGGTCAACTTTCTAAAGAGATTATAACTAAAATGAAAAGCAGAGGGGAAAATAACAGCATTATAATATATAGGAAGAGAGGCATTATATTTTATGCTATAGTTGAAAGTTGGTGTAATTTAGTTCCTTTTAAAAATCCAAATATGGATGTGTAAACATCTCAAACACTGGCATGCATCATTCCTTGTGGGTGAGTCAGTCAAGGAAATGTCAAGAAAGGAGAAGGATCCAAGATGGCCGAATAGGAACAGCTCCATAGTGCACTTCCCAGCTGGAACAGTGCACAGGGTGAGGGCTCACCCCATTTCCAAACAAGTTTTCATTGCCCACAGACCAGGAGGTTCCTGGACCGAAAAACGCCATGAGTTTTCAGCGTGGTGGTTTCAGCTGGTGCCAGATTAGCACACAGAAACTCCCAAGTCTGGGCAGCTGTTTCAACTGATGCCTGGAAAGCCTAGGAGACAGAGCTGCCCACTCAACTGAAAGGGAGGGGGTTGAGACAGGGAGCCAGGTGATCTGGCTCAGCAGGTAACATTCCCACAAAACAAGTAATCTGAAACGGTTTGGATTGAGAGTTTCGCAGCAAGCACAGCTGGACCCAGGACCGTCCAGCTCAGTGGGGGGAAGGGTGTCCACCACTACCCAGACAGTTTGCCACTACCGAGGCAGTTCACAAAGCAGCTGGGCAGAGCCTGGGGCAGCTCAGCAACACCTCTGCTGGCAGACTGTGACTAGACTACTCCGTGCAAGGCATGGCATCTATGAAAAAAGGCAGCAGCATGACAGGAGCTTATAAATAAAGCCAATCTTCCTAGGACCGAGTACCTGGGAAAAGAGGCGGTTATGAGTTCAGCGGCAGCAGACTTAAAAGTACCTGCCCAGCAGCTCTGCACTGAAGAACAGAGCTCCCAGCAAAGCACTTGAGCTCCTATAATGGACAGACTGTCTCCTCAAGCAACTCCCCAACCCCCATGTACCCAAAGAGACACCTCATAAAGGAGAGCTCAGGCCGACATCTGGCGGGTACACTTCTGGGACAAGGATAGCAGAGGAAGAAACCAGAGGCACCCCTCACTGTTCTGCAGCCCCCCGTGGGTGATCCCCAGGCGAGCGGGGTCTGGAGTGGACCTCCAGCAGTCCTGCAGCAGAGGGGCCTGACTGTTAGCAGGAAAACTAAGAAGCAGAAGGAAATAGCTTCAACATCAACAAAAAGGACACCCACTCAGAGATGTCATCCAAAAGTCACCAAATACAAAGACCACAGGTAGATAAATCCACAAAGATGGGAAGAAACCAGCACAAAAAGATGAAAACACCAAAAACCAGAACGCCTCTCCTCCTTCAAGGGATGACAGCTCCTCACCAGCTAGGGATCAAAGATGGATGGAGGATGAATTTGATGAACAGACAGAAACAAGCTTCAAAAGGTGGGTAATAATAAAATTCTCAGAGCTAAAAGAACATGTACAAAACCAATGCAAAGAAACTGAGAACCTACAAAAAAGGTTAGATGAGATGCTAACTAGAATAAATAGCTTAAAGAAGAATATAAACAACTTGATGGAGGTGAACAACACAGCACGAGAACTTCATGAAGCATACACAAGTTTCAAGAGCCGAATTGACCAAGCAGTAGAAATGACACCAGAGATTGAAGATCAACTCAATGAAATAAAGCATGAAGGCAAGATTACAGAAAACAGAGTGAAAAGAAATGAACAAAGCCCCCAAGAAATATGGGATTATGTGAAAAGACCTAATCTGCATATGATAGGTGTACCTGAATGTGACAGAGAGAATGAATCCAAGCTGGAAAACACTCTTCAGGATATTATCCAGGAGAATTTCCCCAACCTAGCAAGGCAGGCCAACATTCAAATCCAGGAAATACAGAGAACACCACAAAGATATTCCTCAAGAAGAACAACCCCAAGGCACATAATCCTCAGATTCATCAGGGTTGACAGGAAGAAAAAAAATCTAAGGGCAGCAAGAGAGAAAAGTCGGGTTACCCACAAAAGGAAGCCCATCAGACTCACAGCAGATCTCTCCACAGAAACCTACAAGCCAGAAGAGAGTGGGGGCCAATATTCAACATCCTTAAAGAAAAGAACTTTCAAGCTAGAATTCATATCCAGTCAAACTAAACTTCACAAGTGAAGGAGAAGGAAAATCCTTTACAGACAAGCAATTGCTGAGAGATTTTGTCACCACCAGGCCTGCCTTACAAGAGCTCCTGAAAGAAGCAGTAAACATAGAAAGGAACAACCAGTACCAGCCCCTCCAAAAATGTACCAAATGGAAAAGACCATAGACACAATGAAGAAACTGTGTTAACCAACAAGCACAACAACCAACCAGTAACAAAATGGCAGGATCAAATTCACACATACCAATATTAACCTTAAATATAAATGGCCTAAATGCCCCAATCAAAAGACACAGACTGGCAAACTGGATAAAAAGTCAAGACCTACTGGTATGCTGTATTAAGAGACCCAACTCATGTGCAGGAACACACATAGGCTCAAAATAAAGGGATGGAGGAAGATTTACCAAGCAAATGGAGAGCAAAAAAGGCAGGAGTTGCAATCCTAGTCTCTGATTAAATAGACTTTAAACCAACAAAGATCAAAAGAGACAAAGAAGGGCATTACATAATAGTAAAAGGATCAATGCATCAAGAAGAACTACGATCCTAAATATATACGCACCCAATACAGGAGCACCCAAGTACATAAAGCAAGTTCTTAACAACCTACAAAGATACTTAGACTCCCACACAATAATAGTGGGAGGCTTTAACACTCCACTATCAATATTACAGATCAACGAGACAGAAAATTAACAAGGCTGTCCATGACTTGAACTCAGATCCAGACCAAGCAAACCTAATAAACATCTACAGAACTTTCCACCCCAAATCCACAGAATATACATTCTTCTCAGCACCACATCATACCTACTCTAAAATTGACCACATAATTGGAAGTCATTCACTCCTCAGCAAATGCAAAATAATGGAAATCATAACAAACCATCTCTCAGACCACAGTGCAATCAAATTAGAACTCAGGATTAAGAAACTAACTCAGAACCACATAACTTCATGGAAACTGAACAACTGGCTCTTGAATGTCAACTGGATAAACAATGAAATGAAGGCAGAAATAAAGATTTCTTTGAAACTAATGAGAACGAAGACACAATGTACCAGAATTTCTGGAACACATTCAAAGCAGTGTCTAGAGGAAAATTTATAGCAATAAATGCCCACATGAGAAGGAAGGAAAGATCTAAAATCAACACCCTATCATTGAAAGAGCTAGAGGAGCAATATCAAAACAACTCAAAAGCTAGCAGAAGACAAGAAATAACTAAGATCAGAGCAGAAATGAAGGAGATAGAGACATAAAAATCCCTTCAAAAAATCAATAACTCCAGGAGCTGGTCTTTTGAAAAGACTGCTAGCCAGATTAATAAAAAAGAAAAGAGAGAAGAATCAAATAGATGCAATAAAAAATGATAAAGGGGATATCACCATCAATTCCACAGAAACACAAACTACCATCAGAGATTACTACAAATGACTCTGCACGTAAACCAGTAAACCTGAAATAAATGGATAAATTCCTGGACACTTGTACCCTCCCAAGCCTAAACCAGGAAGAAGTTGAAACCCTGAATAGACCAATAATAAGGTCTGAACTTGAAGCCACAATTAATAGCCTACCAAAAAAAAAAAAAAGCCCAGGTCCACATGGGTTCACAGACAAATTCTACCAGATGTACAAAGAGGAGCTGGTATCACTCCTTCTGAAACTATTCCAAGTAAAACAAAAAGATGGAATCCTTCCCAAATCATTTTATGAGACCAACATCATCCTGATACCAAAATCCAGCAGAGACTCAACAACAAAAAAGGAGAACTTCAGGCCAGTATCTATGATGAACATAGATGCAAAAATCTGCAATAAAATGCTGGCAAACTGATTGCAACAGCACATCAAAAAGCTTATCCATCACGATCAAGTAGGCTTCGTCCCAGGGATGCAAGTCAGGTTTAACATACCCAAGTCTATAAATGTAATCCAACACATAAACAGACCCAAAGACAAAAACCACATGATTATCTCAATAGATGCAGAAAAAGCCTTCCACAAAAGTCAACAGTCTTTATGCTAAAAACTCTGAATAAACTAGGTATCAATGGAACGTATCTCAAAATAATAAAAGTTATTTATAACAAACCCACAGCCAATATCATACTGAATGGGCAAAAACTGGAAACATTCCCTTTGAAATCTAGCACTAGACAAAGATGCCCTCTATCACCACTCCTATTCAGTATTATTGGTCTATTCAGTATAGTATTGGAAGTTCTAGCCAGAGCAATCAGGCAAGAAAAAGAAATAAAGGGCATTCAATTAGGAAAAGAGGAAGTCAAATTGTCTCTATTTGCAGACGACATGATTGTATATTTAGAAGACCCCATCCTCTCAGTCCAAAATCTCCTTAAACTGATAAGCAACTTCGACAAAGTCTCAGGATATGAAATCAATGTGTAGAAATTACAAGTATTCCTATACACCAATAACTGACTAAAAAAGAGCCAAATCAAGAGTGAACTCCCACTCACAATTTCTACAAACAGAATAAAATACCTAGGAATACAAATAACAAAAGTTATAAAGGACTTCTTCAAATATAACTAAAACCACCGCTCAAGGAAATAAGAGAGGACACAAACAGATGGAAAAACATTCCATGCTCATGGTTAGGAAGAATCAATATCATGAAAATGGCCATACTGCCCAAAGTAATTTATAAATTCAATGTTATCTCCATCAAGCTACCAATGACCCTCTTCACAGAACTGGAAAAAAACTACCTTACACTTCATATGGAACAAAAAGAGAGTCCACATAGCCAAGACAATCCTAAGCAAAAAGAGCAAAGCTAGAGGCATCATACTACATGACTTCAAACTATACTACAAGGCTACAGTAATCAGAACAGCATGGTACTGGTACCAAACAGAGATACAGACCAATGGAACAGAACAGAAGCCTTGAAAGCAATGCCACACATCTACAACCATCTGATCTTTGACAAATCTGACAAAAACAAGCAATGGGTAAAGGACTCCCTATTTAATAAATGGTGTTGGTATAACAGGCTAGCCATGTACAGAAAACAGAAACTGGACTCCTTCTTTTCACCTTATGCTAAAATTAACTCCAGGTGGATTAAAGACGTAATCATAAGACCTAACACCATAAAAACCCTAGAAGAAAACCTAGGCAAAACCATTCAGGACATAGGCATAGGCAAGGACTTCATGACTAAAACACCAAAAGCACTGGAAACAAAAGCCAAAATAGACAAATGGGATCTAATTAAACTCCAGAGCTTTTGTACAGCAAAAGAAACAATCATTAGAGTGAACAGGCAACCAACAGAATGGAATAAAATTTTTGCAATCTACACATATGACAAAAGACTAATATCCAGAATCTACAAAGAACTAAAACAAACAAATCCATTCAAAAGTAGGAGAAGGATATGAACAGACACTTTTCAAAAGAAGACATATATGAGGCCAAGAAACATGAAAAAATGCTCATCATCACTGGTCATTACAGAAATGCAAATCAAAACCACACTGAGATACTATCTCATGCCAGTTATAATGGCAATCATTAAAAAATTTGGAGACAACAGATTCTGGAAAGGATGTGGAGAAATAGGAACACTTTTATGCTGTTGGTGGGAGTGTAAATTAGTTCAACCATTATGGAAGACAGTGTGGGGATTCCTCAAGGACCTAGAAATAGAAATTCCATTTGACCCCGCAATCCCACTACTGGGTATATATCCAAAGGATTATAAATTGTTCTATTATAAAAACACATGCACACGTATGTTCACTGTCGCACTGTTTACAATAGCAAAGACCTGGAACCAACCCAGATGCCCATCGATGATAGACTGGACAAGGAAAATGTGGCACATATACACCATAGAATACTATGCAGCCATAAAAAACAATGAGTTCGTGTACTTTGTAGGGACATGGATGAATCTGGAAACCATCATTCTCAGCAAACTGACACAAGAGCAGAAAATCAAACACCACATGTTCTCACTCATAGGTGTGTGTTGAACAATGAGAACACATGGACACAGGCAGGGGAGCATCACACACTGGGGTCTGTTGAGGGGGTCTAGGGGAGGGACAGCAGGGGTTGGGGAGGGATAACATGGGGAGAAATGCCAAATATAGGTGACAGGATAAGCAAACCACATCGTCATGTATGTACCTATGCAACAATCCATACATGATCTGCACATGTACCCCAGAACCTAAAGTACAATTAAAAAAGAAAAAAAGTCAAAAACACACACATACACAAATAGGATCCTGATAAAGATCTAACCTAACTTTGATCTGTAATGATGTAGGCACTACTTTTAAATAGTCCCTCCTCCTTTTCTCTTGCTTTGTTCCTTAATTCCAGATAGCCTCCTCCCACACACAGCTGCTGCTATAGTTGCTGCTAGAGCCCCCCTGAACCTCTACAATGCTTATCCAGCTTCTAGAGCCTTTGCCCAATTTGCAATGAGAGACATTCAGCCTCAATCCTCCCATTTGATTCCTTTAGAGGAGAGAGGATGGAAGAGGGATGGGGTGGGTTTGAATTTTAAGATATTGGGACTCTGGATTCAGAAATAACTCCAGGGAAGTTAAAAGTTAACACTTAATATTGGTTCAACTATTTCAACTACCTTACAGATACTAAGGATAAAAAAATGTTTTTTTTAATGCTTTCTAGTTGATCCTAAGATTTCATTTTGATTAGCATGGTAATACAAACACACACACATTAACTAAAAACTTCAGAGTTCCATTGCTATATAGGATGATGACTGCCATGAAAAGAATATTGCTCCCACTCTGACAACCACAAAAGAGTCAGACAATCTACAAAACTATTCTTGAGCCCATCAAAGGACTGAAGTCATAACGCAGCCAAGTAAGCTGAATTCCAAAGAGGGAGAAGCTTTCCAAAGAGAGACTGGACACACAGCTAGCTAGCTTTTTGCAGAGCAAGGGAGACAGAGGTAGTCACCATTCAAGTAGGTAAGAAAAAAAATCAGTCAAAATTTTAATGAATTCTTAAAGGGCAAGAGTGCGCTGGTGTGTGTAAATTTGGAACATGCTCAAGCTAGGAGCCCCAGACATAGGGGAAGTTTCACTCACAATCTCAGTTTCAATCTCAGTTTCACAAGCCTCCCCTGGGTATGCATACTGAGGACAAAGACAGGGACCAGAGCAGGAAATCTGAGAGAGCCATCCTTCAGGGACACGTATGCTGCTGATGCATACTTCATACAGGCACTGATGAAGACCCTTTCAAGCAGACACCCTTGTCTCTGGAGTTGTGCAGGAAATCTTGGGCCCAGGACTCTGCAATAATGCCAGACACAGGTCAGCTACTGCTAGGAGAGAGACAAAAATTTCTCTCCCACCTAAGACCAATCACAGATACAAGGCAGAATCCAGCTGACATAGAGAGGAGATGCAGGAGTGCTGAGAAAACCTCAGTTCCAAGGCCCAGGCAGACTAGGCCTGCCTAAGACTGAGGCTGGACCATTACAAGAGGGAGTCCCCTCTGCCCCCACCCAAGCCCAATACCAATTAAGAAGCAACAGCAGTTTAACACTGGGAAGGGCAAGAATGTGAAGAGAGACGGGCTGTGTTTCAGGCAAGCATGGTAGACTGGGAACACTGAAAAAGTCATCCAGTCCTCCAGATCCCACTCTAAGTTCAAAGGAATGGCGGCCATCACTGAGGGATTTGAAGCCTGTGATGAACTGAAGGTAACCATAGCAACAAAAAAAATGCAAACCCAACTCAACCCTTGAGTACATGGATTCAAACTCCACACTGTTTACATGAAAGCAGCAAGCCCATGCCAGGCAAAAATACTAGTCAACTCAGTCTCTTCAGTTCTTCTCCACACAATGTCCAGCATTCAACAGAAAAGTACAGGACACATAAAAAAGCAAGACAAAACATGCTATTGTACAATGATCGACCAAAAGGAACAAGGACAGAGATGACTTTGATGCTGAAACTACTGAACAGAGACTTTAAAATAGCCATGATTACTATGTTAAATGACCTAGTGAAAAAGACAACATGTATGAATAGATAGGAAATTTAAGCAGAGAGATAGAAACTATAAAAGAGTCCAGTGGAAATATTAGAAATGAAAACATTACTAGAAATGAAAAATTCATTTGATAGGCTCATTAGCAGACAGGACACAGTGAATGTAAAGATAGATTGACAGAAAGTTTCAAACTAAAACATATAAAGAAAAAATAATAAATTTTTTTTAAAAAGTAGAGTTATGGGGCAAATCAAATGGCCTAACATATGTGTAACTGAAGTTCAAAACGGAGAGAGAACAACAGAAGTATTTAAAGAGATAATGGACAAGAATTTTCCAAAGTTAATAAAAAACAACAAGCCACAGATCCAAGAATCCCAGAGAATCATAAGCAAGATTTTTTCAAAAGGAAAACAAAAATTAAAAACACCAATATATTGTATAGTCAAACTGCTGAAAAAAAGATATTTAAGACAAGCAGAGAAAAAAAGAGACATTGTATTTAGAGGAAGAAAGTCAGAATTTAAAGTAACATCACTTATTTCATTTAAAATCATAAAATTGTAACCCTCATATTGGGCAACTTAAATTTTATGTTTGATGTTTCCTCATAATTTTGTCTCCCTTATTTGAGTGTAGACATTAAGGAAAGAGACCTAGTCTTAATATTATATTAATGTTACCTTTATCCTCCTCTACATTACTTGACAAAGGATGGGTATTCAGTAAGCCCTTCTGACTTGGAAGCGGATTTACTTTTTACCTGATTTTTTTTTGCACGGGATCAGTAAATTTTTTCTTATGGGACATACAAAGTCTTAAGATATAGAAGTATTTGGCTGGGCGCATTGGCTTACGCCTGCAATCCCAACAGTTTGGGAAGCCAAGGCAGGCAGATCACCTGAGATCAGGGGTTTGAGGCCAGACTGACCAACATGGTGAAACTCCAACTCTACTAAAACATATATATATATAGTAGCTGGACACGGTGGTGGGTGCCTATAATCCCAGGTACTTGGGAGGCTGAGGTGGGAGAATCACTTGAACCCAGGAGTCAGAGGTTGTAGTGAGCCAAGATCACACCACTGCACTCTAGTCTGAGCGACAAAGCAAGACATCTCAAAAAATTTTAAAAAAAAAAGTATTTTTAGATTAACTTTATGAAACTTTTAGAGCTTACATTCTCTATTTTTCAGATAAAAGATAAACCTTTGTGAAACTGGCTCTACATTTAGCAAGATGAGATTATGGAGTCTCCCTGCTTTGATACTTCCTTTCCCCAGTATTTACATATTGAATTTTAGATAATATTATTACCCACACAGTGGGTGACACTCCGAAGACCACAGCCAAGGAGGATTTAACAAGGGGATTTTATTACCTGCAACAAGTAAGGAGGACGGCTGGGGTAGTTTCCCAAAGCAGTACCTCCCAAACAATGGTGAAAACAGGCTGGTTAGCTGAGCCATTGTATGCAGAGGTGGCGTAAAGACAGAGCAGGTGAAGTGGCTGATCATGCTTCTCCATATGTCACCTGCATAGGAAATTGAAGGTAAGCTTCTCCCTGCATGGAGTTTTTAGTATGGTAATGAGGAAAGTTCACCAAGGCTCATCTCCAACTCAAGCATCTCTGGACTCAAACAGTTTTTGTTATCTAGGGCTGAGCTTTACTCTGGAACTTTTTGAAACAACTCAAGCTGCAACCGTTACAAGTGGGTGCTTTTTCAGGGTACCTACCCAGAAACTTGGGGACCTTGGGTTACAATAGAATATTCATCTACCTATTATTGTGTTATCTACAATTTTCTATGTGTAACTTGTCTTTTCTTCCACAAACAGATTGTCCATCCTTCAAAGTAAGGTCTGTAATGTCTGTATTTTATATCTCATATACAACAGATGCATAATAAAATATTTGGTTACTAATATCAAAATGATAAAAATATCTAGGAAAGTCCAGCTCTGACCTGCTATGCTTAGGTCCCAGGCCCAAGCAGAGGGAGCCTATAGTAAAAGATGTTGTTGAGATTCACTCAGGGTGGCTGGCAAAATACTAGGGAAATATTAGGGAAAGTTATAGATTAGTCTCAAACCTTTTGGAAGGCTGAAAGGTTTTAATGGGACAGCCTGAAGGCAGCCAGTCCATCACGCTAGGGAAAAGATAGGGATGATAAAGGCTGTCCCAGTTTAATCTGTTTACCCCACATCCCTTTGTCTCTACTCTGGTCACTCATGTGAACTTTGTGCTGGATGGCCCTCTCAGGGGGAGGTCAAAGGGGAATTACCCATTAATGGTGTTTACTCTGGACCCCGGAACCTACAGCTTTTATCATTCGTAAAACCACTCTTTTAACCATGTTAATTATCCACAAGCATGTTGACTTAGAAACTCTGTTATCAAATTCATACTGAACAAATGTGACAATGGAGAGGGAGTCTTGGTCGACTGCCTGCATATCGCCCTCCGAAAGCAGCTAACGACCATCCCTAGCCCACTTGAATCACTGAAATAGGTGTGGGAGTGCATTTATTCATCCGTCTTTGAGTCAAGGTCTATAGGATAGACCTCTGCAGGTGGTAATCAATGTCTCAACATGTGGAGTCCATTGCTAAACTTGATGTTGACCTTCATCCATACTCTCAGCTGCTTGTTCCCCACTATGCTCAGCTTCACCTTTCAGGCCTCACACACCTGTAGGTGGGTCCAGGTCTGAGGTTCCCTAACATATTTACCTCTCTGGTTCCACAACTATCATTTATCCCCTTCTCATACCCAGTTCTAATTCCAGCCCAGAGAGTCAGCAGGCTCTTGACAAGAAAAAATCTTCAAAGGTATGAAAACAAACCAATCTCTATATAATGCACAGTAAAAAGGTGATATGATTGGATATGCAAACCATTCTTCTACTAGGATTATATTTAAGGGAAATGAAGTACATTTCACACAACAAATACCTATGAAATCAAAGAACATAATCCCAAAATTATTAGTTTAGCAGGATGTTTAAATAAATGGAATGTTTAGCTTGCCAACTTCCCATACAAGTAGAATAATTATTCCACAAAAACGTCACACTCTAAAGCCTAGGATTTGCTAGTCTGCTCTTGAAAATACATTTGCACCTAAGAAAATTCCAAGTATTGGAGCTTCAAAGATGAGAAACACTGAAGTGTCCAAACAATTGCTTTGACCCACCCATGGTATACAGTCTATTCTTGGTAGTTACGTTCTACTGAACATAACTGAAACACTGAGTTAGGGAACACTGAATTAGGGAACCATGGATCCTAGGAGAAATACATATTTGGGTTCCTGCAAACCTCGATCACAACATTTCTATCAATCAAGACATAACCTTGTTTTATGCATTTGTTTAAAGACACCTTATTTAATATATTGTTGATTCATTAACATTGAACTCACAACTAAAGCACTTTAACTCTGACCTGAACGAAGCTTATCTAACACACATATTTTCTCTGTAAAGCACTTTACAGCCTTCTGCTTAGGAATAATGGACAAAACTTCAACACCAAGCTTCGGAAGAGGGAGGCATTTTAAATAGCAAAATCACTAACAAATAACACAAAAATGTGGAAAATATGGCACTAAGCAAACTACAAATTTAAAAACACTTATATACAAGAGCTGAAACAAGAAGACAGAGCATTACCCTATTCAACATCATCTGGGAACACGCATGTCAGGTAACTCAAATTCTTCATCACTCTACGCTTGTTCACAAACGAGACTGCAAAGGCACCATGAGTACTGATTTGAGAGTTCTCAGGGATGCAGTTTCTAGTGGGATGGGAGGAAAAACATTCTAATCGAACTTTCGAAAAATGAAATGGGCAGACCAAGAAGAGGACTCTCCAATCTTTGACACGGTTGTATGTAATTCATATCTGTCACTCCCAAACTGGGTACACATCAGACAACCCGGGTGGGAGACTAGATAAAAATACTCCAGTGTTTCTAACTTAGTAGGTCTGGATGGGGCTCAGAATCTGTATTTTTATCAACAAATTTTTCATCACTCTGCGCATGTCCGCAAATGACTGCAAAGGCACCATGAGTATTGATTTAGGGGATCTCAGGGATGCAGATTCTTGTTGGATGGGGGGGAAATAAACATTCTAACAGAACTTTCCAAAAATGCAATGGGATGCAGATTCCAGTTGGATGGGGGGAAAAACAACATTCTAACAGAACTTTCCAAAAATGCAATGGGCCAACCCAGGAGAGGACTTTCCAATCTTTGATGTGGTTGCAAAAAGGAAATGTTTGCAAATAGGCAATTTCACAAATACAGAATTCATAATAATAAGCATAGACTCTCTCTCCATCTCAAATGTCCTCCTCAGTAGCTCAATTTGATTCATGCCTTGCACATCCTCTCACCTCTCTCAACTTTCCAGCATTGATCTTGTTACTTACTCATCAATACACACCCAACCCCCTTGGCTCCAATGCACATTTTGATCCTTCCTAATCACAGAAATGCTATGTTCAAGTTTGTACATTTCATTGTACATAAACCTCATCTCAATACAAATGTGACAAAACAAGTATAGTACAATGTTAGTAAGAGAATCTAGGTGGTAGGTATGTAGGTGTTCACCGTAAAAATTTTTAAACTTTTTGTGTGTTTGAAAACGTTCCTATTAAAATGTTTGGGAAGACAGGGTAGGAATCACACGTTCCAAAAACATTCTAAGAATACGCTTAATGAAATGAAATTGAATATTTCCCCAGTCTTCTGCCCAA